TTTTTCAATTTCATGTACAACACTGCCACCTTGGCCTTGGAAATTTATCTCAAGCAGTTTCAGCTGCTCCACCAGAGCTAGCAGAGGGATGACAAAGTCTTGGCAAGCTTAAGGCCACTTCCCATTCCCTTGCCCACAGCAGACATTGCTAATCAATGTCAGCACTTCCTGTGCTCCAGCAGACACAGTTAATCAATAACAGTATCCTCCCTGTTGAGCCCAGAACCCCAGGCAGGAGGGGGTTGCCTCACCCAGAGTTGCCAAAAGAATGCAACCCACTGGCTTTCTCTGTAGGAGCAAACAGTCCAACTGAACATTCAGTAATAAAAGGACCTTTGGTTCTAAAGTCCATCCCTAGCCCAGGTCAGGCTCAGAATTCAAGCCAGTATCTTCCATGCCAAACCTTCTCACTTTGACCATTTGGCTCTTGTGATTAAAAATCTTTCACTGGACACTGAAGAAGTGTATAGTCTTTCTTTTAAGAGACATACTCTTCATGTTTCTTCAGTGTTTGAAAACAGAAGGCAGAGACTGTGTCTTAGAAGCTGAGATTTACAGCCTTCATAGAAAGCCCTAGGGGGAGTGACCAGGGGTGGGGGGGGGGCAGAGCAACGTGAGCAGGGCCCCGAGCTTTGGGGTGGCCGCCCCTCACAGTGCGCAGGACCCCATCACACAGATCACTGCTTAGCAGCCCGACAGGGACAAACACAAACAAAGGGACGCATGCTGGCAGGCAGGGCTGGGAAAAACAACAGCAGAAGGAGCTGAAGGTCAAATGGAGGCCAGTGGCCAAAGGCTGCATGAGGCTCGCTGCAGGTGGAACTGGGATAAGGGAGGGATCCGTGAGATTCTGGCCCAGACCCAACATCCCCAGCCACCCAGAAGAAGGCCCTGGTGAAGAAGAGGGGGAAGAAATCTGGGCACGTGTCCTGGGCAGGCAGGATGGGCCTGGAGCTCTCTGAGGGCTGCAGCAGCATCAGCCCATTCCTTTCCCGACAATCCCAGAGGCTCTCAGCACGGGATGTGCGTCTGTTTCTCATCTGGGGGCCCTGGTAAGGCTGGCCGCCTCGGCCTTCTGCTCACTCCCAGATTGACATGCCTTCCCACAATGCTCTATGTGGACATCAGGAGGGAGAAAGTCTCCTCTGTGGATACCGCAAAGGATTTGGTGCCGCCAGAGGCCGTGGCTGCTGCTGAGCATGGAAGCCCTACCTCAGAACAACACTGATGCCTGGAGGGCGCAGAGCAGATAGCAGGGTAGGAGGCGAGCCATGGCCTGGCCTGGACAAGGTGACCAGTTACAGCAACACAAAATTCCCCTGTTGACCCACACTAACGGGTGTCGGCCGCCAAAAGCTTATTAGGAATAACAATAAGGCTGGTCCTGAGATGGCAGACAGGGCATGAAGGCCGGGAGCAGAATCTGGAAATACCCCAGGGTTCTGCTCCAGACATTTTCTCCACCCTTGGCTGAATCACAGTGATGTAGAATCTCTTCAGGACCTGACCGCCTGAGCAATTTTCCTTAGGCACAGAGAAAACACAATTTGCTCCATCCCCTCATATCCAGACAGGGAAGCCTGGCTTGCCAGGACTCAGGGTTTTCACTGAGAAAAGATCCATCACAAACTGGCTCAAATAACAAAGGGACTAACTGAAAGAAGAAGACAGCTTCAGGAAGGACTGGTTCCAGGAGCTCAAATGCCATCATCGAGGCCTGCTACCTGCCCCATACCCTTTCTCCACTGTGCCGCTGCCACAGGGAGTCAGGACCTTCCCACCTGGAAGCAAAGACAGCTGCCAGCAACTCCTGCTCACATCCTGCCCCTCAAGGATGCTAACTGGCTCTTTTTTTTTCCCTATCCAAAAGCACAAGTTTATTATAAAAAAGAAAGGAAAGGAAAGGGCATTTGCACAGACACAAGCAGACAACATGAGCTGCCCCTGAAAAGGACAGGTCTATGAAAAGAGACATCTGCATAGACACAGGCAGGCAGCCTCGGGATGAGAGCTGCCTATTAACTGGATCTTAACAGATCAGCTTGGCCAGTGCCCTCTGGGACCCAATCACGGTGTCCAAGGGATGGAAGAAGCTGACATCCCAGTCGGGGCTCTTGGACCCAGCCCCACCAAACCACACAGACAGAAGGGGGAAGAAAAAGAGCCCACCCAGGAAGAGGGGGCCCTTGGCACTCACACCACCGATGACCCCGCCTCAGCTATTCACACCACTACAGAACCCCACGCTGATCTGGGCTGATCTGTGTGACAACAGAATATGGCAGATGTGATCACGTGGCTCTTCCAAGAATAGTTATGACACAACAGCTTCCACAATGGCTGTCTCTCTTGCTCCCGGTCACTCGCCCTGAGAAGCCAGCCCTGTGGTGTGGCCCAAGGGTAAGGAACCAGAGCCTCCTGCCAAAAGCCAAAGTGAGCCCAGAGGGGGAGCCTCAGGCCTCCTAAGAAACGCCAAGCAAAAACCACCCTGCTGAGCCGTTCCCAGACACTCATCTCACAGAAACTGAAGCATCTAAACATGTGTTGCTTTAGTCTGCCAAGTTTGGGGATGATTTGTTACGCAGACAGACAGCTAGCACAGCGCGCAGACGCAGAAAGCAACCCACGAACTTGCTGCCTCAAAGGTTCTTCCCCTCATGTAAGTGTGTGTCTCCCTCCTGTGGACACCTGTCTCCAAACTCATTCATTGTTCTTAATTCAATGCTAAACAAGGCGACCAAGTATTTAGGGCATAAGGTTAACCTACCCTGGACTAATCGTGATGCCTCCCCCTCAGGAACAAGCATTTATTTGGGGCTACAAAATCCTGGGGCTGGTTCCATGACCTTGACCTCAATTGACGCCTCACTATCCAAGAGGGAAGACATTCATTTTTAGCAAAAGGGATGTGGAGTAAAATGCTGGACTTGCCCGGGGTGTTCCTCCACACTCAGGGCTGGTAAAGCAGGCCTATGCACAGCTCACTCTCAGTACCGGAACACTGGCAGCAAAAGTAATTTCCCTTTGGTGAATCTGAAATAGCCTAGCACTTAATTCTTTCTGCATCACTGCTGTTACAACATAACTTGATTAGGCAAGGTTTCTTAGTAATGATTACGCTAAAGAAAATGGTAACGACAGTTGACATTTATGGAGCACGTCTGAAGCACATGTATGGAGCTGAGATAGGGTCTCTCACTCACCAGGCCATGACTATGTGGTAGAGCATCCTGTCCTCATTTTATAACCAAGGACACAGAGGCAGACACTCAGTGACTTCAAGGCCACACAAGTAACGAGCAGCAGAAACACGATCTGAACCTGGGCCACAAGCCACGAGGTTACCCACCTGCAGCACAAAACCTGCCACCTGAACACGGATGCCCTCCGCACACATGGCCCCGCCCTGGCCCGTGACCTTTGCCACCCCACCTGCCTGTACCCCATCAGCAATGGCAGCCCCAGCAACAAGGGATACCTGGCCCACTACACTGACAGCCGCTCCTTCTAGGGCCCAAGCATGGAGGAAGGCCTGGCATGCTGTGGGGTGAACTGTGTCTGGAACATGCCAGCAGCTGAATTCCTCAAACTTACACACCCAAGTGCTTGGTTTGCTTTCTTCCTTTTCTCTCATGCTGAATATTTGCCTGTTTTATAGAAGCTCCTTCTACCACCTGCAAACTTTCAGGTGCCTTAAGGTCTTAGCTACATGTTGCTTAAAGGGGGAGACCTCAGGTTATAAAATTGCCTAGTCAAGAAATTGGCACTTTCTACTCCATTCAGGGGCTAAAACCCTCCCAAGAGCCACCCTCTATTAAAATACAGGTCCTAAGACCTACTTCTAGCAGTTTCTGGGGCCAGTGCCCCGTGCACCCTCACAGACTCCCTCCCGCTCCGGGCTCACGTGGGCAAGACTGCCCCCTGCAGGCATACACCTGGAAACACACCCAGGAGTTCAGCAGTTCACCCAAAGCACACCAAGCGCCAGCAACAGAGCAGGACACAAGCCTGGCTCCCAACACAATCCAGAAACGACTGGGAATTTCAGGCTGTCTTCTTGGCGGATCCAGAAGCGGGGATCTCCTTGTTTTCACTGTGAACATTTAACACAACTGCATCCCAGAGCCTCAGCTTGGCCGAGGGGTGTCCAGTAGGAAAAATGCCAGATGAGTAACTATCTCTGGCTCTGGAGATGCCATTTTAAAATGTGAGGAATGAGAGATGAAATGAGAACTGAATGACAATTCACAAAACAGGAAAAAAACTGGAATTCAAATGGCCAGCCATCAGAAATGGCCATTTTAACATGCTACTCGAGGAAATGCCACATCCAGAGAGATGAAAGCGGTTACCACGAAGGCCTCGGAAGTGATAAACACTGTGTGGTGGTGGAGGAAGGCAGGCTCGGTACAGGGCATAAAAATATATTTGCATGTGAACAAACGCAGTAAAAATGCATGTTTTTATGGGAATTGGGGGTTCGCTTTATGGTTTTCTTTAATGAGATATAAACAAAGTCACAAAAAAAGAAATAAAAAGGCTCTTAAATAAAAATAGGCTCCACCATAATCTTAATTAGGAAAATGACAAATGAGAAATATTCTGCCAGCACCTGTGCCAGCACCTTTTCCACATGTGATGTTATCAAAGGCCCAGAAGTCAGAGCATGAGTTACTACAAAGGAGGTGGTGGCCTGTGTGCCAGAGCGTTCTCGAGGCTGCAGCTGCTGGAATATGCATGAGCCGCTCCAGAGTCCTGCTACCACCACCCTGGGGCACACTGGACTTGCATCATTTAACCTCTAGGACCTTTCGTATTTTGAACTATGTGCATAGAGATTACTTATTCAGTGGGTTAAATTAAAATTGCAAATGCCTCATTTTACTTCCTTTGGCCACCTCTTTTTTTTTTTTTTTTTTAATTAGAAAGCACCAGTGAAAGGTGTGCTTGGGATTTTAAAGCCTCCATGCTCCCACCTATCGGACCCTCTGCCCTCCTACCTCGCCAGCGCCTGGACCTTCGTGACGTGCCGCTCCTCCTGCTCAGCCATCTTCCTCTTCAGGGAGTCCACCTCTTGCCGGAGTGCAGCTGAGTGCTCCATCTCACCATCCAGCAGGCTCCGCAGTGACCTGAGGAGAAAGGGGAGGCCACTTCATTCAGCTGTCGTCAGCCCAGAGTCCGCCAAGCCCAGAACCCTGTTGTTTATCCGAATGAAGTCCTTACCCATTCGTTTCCCACAAGGCTCTGCAGGAACCATAAGGCAAATGTAGCTTGTGTGGATTGGCTTAAGGAAGGCCCAAACTCCGGTCAAGAGCCTCTGAGTAATAATTAGGATCAGCCCCGGGGGAACCATCTGCCCCGGCTCGTGTCTCTGATAGTCTGTGGGCAATGAGCTGAGCAAATTGCAGGCAAGTCCCTGTGACGACATGCCAAATGTGCAGCCCCTTACACGGAGACCATTCTGTCACAGCCCCACTGGGCAAGAGATTTAACAAAGGAAAGAATGCCGGGAGAGGCCAAAAGCATCACTGAGGCATAAAGACAGACTCACGTCATCTGACAGATGTCTAGTCTCGTTTCTACTTCCGCCCCCGATCATACTTAGATCCTGTCTCTTGCCACCTCCAGGTTAAGCGAGCACACATAGGCTCTCCATGGCATACAGTGACAGCGTATGTCACGTCTTTCATTGCATGTAGAGTCTGCTGCCCCCCAAACACATTCACTCACGTTCCTGCTGTGTCCTTGGTCTTAAATACAAATGCTGTCCTACAGAGACAGCAGCTCTTCCAGGAAAAAAAAAATTATTTTGACTCACTAGAAGTGAGTCAAACATGTTTCCTTTCACTTCTCTGGACTTGACAGGCTATTTCCAGAAAACAATGACTGACTCTGGAACATCTACACCCTAAATCTAGAGGACCCTAATCATCGTGTGACGTCAGAACACAGGCAGACACATCGAACCTCCAGCCCCTGTTCACTGAACTCTCCAAGACCCCCGTTCCTTGTGAGTTTTGAGGACTCTCCCTTCTGGGGCCTGGGATCCCCACCTACAAGGATTTTTTTTCTTCCCCTGGGAAGAGGAAGAGGTTGATGGTAACCCCCTTCACAAGGAGAGCCAGGGCCTCTTCTAAAAGGTCAGCTCTGGCCGGGGGAAGAGGCGGTCCTGCCATGTCCATAAATCCTGGCTGGAGGTTTTGGTCAGAAAATTGTGCTGTGTAGAGATTCCTTTTTTTAAAATTCTCTTGTTTTGGAAGTCATGTTTGTTTGCTTGTATGTGAGGGAGAAAACTCTCAAGCAGGGCCCAAAGCAATGCTTAAAAACAGGATTGCATGTCATCATGCACCCCTGACCCCCACTCTGAGTAGAAGAATAAGAGTGCTGAAGGGCGCTCCCACAGGCGCACACACGTGTGCACACACATGTACCAATGATCACCCCAGGGAGCATGCGTACACACACACACACACACACACACACACACACCACCCCTAGCCCCCAGGAAGAGCCTAATCGTGCTCACAGAAACTTAGCAGATGCTTGCAGGCAACTCCTCCACTGAGCACCCTGCAGCCCAGCCAAGGCCTGCCAGTGCGAGGCCCACATCAGGCCGTCAGAGGCCACACCACGGCCCATCCCTGGGAGTATCTGGTGTTGGTTTCAACAGGAAATAAAAGACAAAGCCCTCTGCCCTCTCACCAGCTGCAGTTGGGTTTGGGGGGGTCAAACACCAAATCCTAATACCACCTTGCCTTAAGTAGCCCTGATTTGAGAAAACTAAGAAGGGTTCTAGTGCCTGGAACATGGCGGAGAGGCATCCGTTAGAGGTTCCTCACCAGGCCACGTTAACGGGCAAGAGGGTGACAACAAAAGGGCATGAGGCTCCTTCAGGGATTGTGGAAACACCACGCTGATGGCAGTGCTGGCTGCACGTACCTGCGAATACACCAAGGCCATGGAACGCCCCGTACCTGGGAGCCACGTGGTGTGAGTGGCTCTCAGGAGGGCCGTCCTTTGAACAGGAAGAGTTAAAGGGCACATGGCATCACCCAGCCCTCAGCTGGTTCCCAGGGAGCCACGATCAGAAGGGCTTCGCACTCGACCCACGACACACACACTAACTGCCACATCCCACTCACGTGTCCCCGGGGAGCAGAGCCACCCCCCCTTTCCCCCACCCATGCTCCGTGGCCGCTGTACCTGTTCTCTTCCTCAAGTTCATCCTTCCTGCTCATCATGGCCACGATGGCTTGTCGCAGCTCATCTAAGGGAAGAAAGTCAGTGGATCAGCAGAGCCCGCTGTCGCCCACCCCTCGCTGCTCTGGAGGCCGCACCAGCAGGGCGACGGGCCCTTTCCAAGTCAGTTGCTCCCACACAGTCTGCGGGAGCCGATGGGCTCAACTGAGGGCTCCTCGCACGTGCCACAAGGTGAGGGGCAGAGCACAGCCAAGAGTAAACATTTCCAGGCTCGTGATTTCTAAGCGCTGTCCTCAGCCCTGCCACAGGCCACATCTCTGAACAACGATGTGCCCCCCGTGACAGCTGTTTGCCAGCAGATCATGCGGCAGCCTAAGTGACATCTGGCCCCATAATGACCCAGAAATAAGGACTCGAAGTTGTCCCATGGACTTCCATGGTGAGTAAAGAGGCAACACCAAACAGGGCCATGCCCCAAATCTACTGCAGAAGCTCTTCAAGGGAGGGAGGCATTCACTGATATAGAATCACGTATTTTAATGAAATAAGCAGCCAAGTTTCCATCCACATCAAGACACCACTCACGTGCAAAGGCCCTGAGGTGGGTGAAAGGTGGTCATGTAAGAAAAGCAGGGGTCAGGGAGGCAAAATCTAGTAGACATGAGTCTGCAGTCGGGATCTGGCAGTGAGCCACAGTACGTGCCCCCCAAATCCTGAGGACTTGATAATGCTAGTGGCCCCACACAGACGCCTTATGTACACTGTCTCATTGATGCCACAGAACAACTCCCTGGGAAGCAACCTCCAGTCTGTCTCACAGACATGCACACAGGCTCACGGAGATTAAATGCAAAGACAGAGCTGGAACGGAATCCTTATCTGTCCAATTCCAAACTCTACATTCAACCCAAGAAACAGAAATTGCCATCAATTCCATGCAGGGATTATAAAGTGGCACAGCACCAATCAGGGCAGGGCTGGGGGAGACAGGTCGCACGTGGGCTTTGTCCAAAACAAGGACCTGAGGCTGCTGGATGACACGGGCCCAGGTAATGACCAGAGTCACACACGATCCTTTCAACTTTGCTTAAATGTTTAAAAAAAAAAAAAAAGCCCACAGGCAGAAAAATTATTTCCATAAAATATACTAATAAAAATCAGAAATGAGGGCAGGACTAAGAAGAGAAAAGGGAGAAGCCCATGACAGGATTAACCAGTCTGCAGAGACAGAAAGGGCCGGCAGCCCTGGGAGGAGGAAGCAGCACATGGCAGCATGGAGCCACGCCACAGCGGCGCCTGCCTGGGCCACGCTCTCCTGGAGCGCAGAGCTCGCCCACTCCGTAACCATCCATTGAGCACCCACTGGGTGCAAGGCACCTTCCCAAGAAGCGAGCAGGCTCCCAGCTAACCTCAGGAAGGAATGTTCTCCAAGGAGTTTTTCTCAACAGAGGACAGTGCAGCGCCACATGCCCGTGATGGAGCCTGGGACTGTTCCTTCTAAACGTGCCAGGTCACTGGTGCCCTGGCTGGTGGCCACAGACCAATGTCTCAACCCCTCCAAGTCGCTCCCACCCACCCTCTACCTCCCTGGGGCGCCAGGGAGAGACGGTTCAGAGGAGAGACCAGCGGGGACAGTGTGTGCAAGGCTGCAGCAGGGAGCACAGAGAGCCCTGAGCTTGAGTCAAGAGCTTCTTAACTAAAAATACTGATTTTAAAAAACACCTGTAATATTCCCTTGACACCACAGTCACGGGGGAAAGCAAGGCTGAAGACAGGCAGGTGCCTCTGGTGCCAACGCAGGAGCAAGGTGGTCGCTGTGTGCGGGGCACCCTTGGGAGACCCCTTTGTGTCCAGGCCTGTGTGAATCTGCCTTCCCTGATGATCCTTCTTCCCCACAGGCCATTCACTACTGCAACAGGATACTAGAAATCTTTCAAATCGATATCAGTTTTTATAGCAGTTTTAGTTTCACAGCAAAACCGAGAGGAAGGGGCAGCATTTCCCCTACAGGCCTGCCCGCCTCGTGCATAGTCTCCCCACCACCAAGAGCCCCCAGGTGTCCACTCGTTACCCTGGAGGAACCTGCACTGACGGCACAGCCACGCAAGGTCAGCCTGCGTCGGACCAGTTTGGGCAAATGTGTAAGGACAGGTCTCCACACTGCAGAATCCTACAGAGTAAGTTTCACTGCCTTAAAAAATTCTCCGTGCTCTCCTGGCCAGGCCCCCTGCTCCCAACCCTGGTGAAATCTCCTCTTAATCAAAAGAAATGGCCATTCCCTGGGCTTCTGCTGATGGCAACACAACACTTGTGTGTCAGATCCACAGTAACGAGCCGCCTGCCGGGTCTAAGCTGGCCGGGTGCACAGCCGGGGCGCCCCACTGGCCCACAGGGGTGCACGGGGAAGGGCCCTCGGTGCTCCCCCAGAGCAGCTGCCAACAGCTCCTCAGGCTGAGCCGCCGGCGGTGCCCTGGCCTGTGTCACCGCACCCTCACCCAACCTGGTCCTGCAGCCTCTGACCGGAAGACCTCCTTGGGACACTCCCAAGTGACCCGCGAGCTTGTTCTGTCCCGTCCTGAAATGGGAGAGCCTCCCCCAGCCCCCGCAACCACCATTCTGCTCTCTTCTCCAGGCGTGACTGTTCTAAATTCCTTGGGTCCCGGGTTCACATGCAGACTTCGCAGCTGGGTAACCCTGGGCAAGTCACCGACCTCTCTAGGGTCCTTCATCTACAGAATAGGGCACCATCGCCGTCTCATGGGAGCGTCAGCTGGACTCAGTAGGGTCACGTGTCAGTGCTTACAGCGCCCCACTCTCATGAATGCTGAAAGCATTCAACAACTGCAGCTCTTCGCTGTGCTGTGCCTTTCCCTTCAACAGAGGGGAGAGATGACAGGAAGCAGTGAGCACCCCTTACGGGTGGCCCAAGGGCCCAGGAGATGTATGAGCACAAGAGGACGTCATACATGACCTCGGCCTGGGGTGCCCCAAATTGCACAGCAGGAATTAACTTGCAAGCAGTGGTGGGGTGACAGGTGGTCCCCCACAGCCCGGATGACCCAGTCCTGCCCTCACTCATCCACCCCTCCACACCCTGTGCCTCGCCAGCCTCCAGGAACCCGGCTCCTGTATTGGCAACCATATCAAAATGGCAGAGGATGCCCAGGTAACAGTAATCTGACACTGGGAATCTTTTTAAAAAGTGACGTCAGTGGTGGCAGGGGACAAACTTCCTTTTCACCACCGGGGTCAGGGGTAGAGGTGAAGGGGCCCCCTTCCTACTGGGCTTGGGGTGAAGATGCTGTCACCCAGGGATGCCCGGTGAATGCTCCCCAAAGGGAAAGGGTGTGGCATTCCTCTCTTTTTGTCTGTATTCACCCCTACAGCTTGGACAAGGGAGCCAGAGCCCAAAAAAGAAATACTGTGCCTCAAAAATAAAAAAATCCATCACAGAGAGGAGGGTCACCTGGCTGTCCTGCCCACTGCATCAAAGGGCACTCCTGTGGTACGGGGAGGAAGTGGTCCTGGAGTGGGCACTCCCACCCTGCCCCCACAAAAAAAAGCTCTCCCTACAGGTTTTAACTCTACATGCGCTCACTTTGCTGCCACGCTGGCTGCCCTGTGACTCCTCCCGGGCAGAGCAGGCGGGAGGTAACGTCGGGGTTGATATCCATGGATCGCGTAAATAGCGCATTTCTCTGGGCTGCAGTGACACCCGGGCAGAGGCACTCCCTAACATGTCATTTCCTCTTCTCTCCCCAGCTCTGCACAGCCTATTATTTGTTTAGTCTCTGTCATTGTGGCTTCTTCCTCTTTATTACCTGCCACCACACACACTGCCAGTGCCAGTGGAGTGAGGCTCCATGCTGCAGCCCCCAGAGCCCCACCCCGGAGGCCGGGAAGCCAAGGGCCCCATCCCCAAACAGCTCCGCTTTGGCTTCAGGGCCTGAGCAGCAAATCCAGTCAAGTACACAGGAGAATGTTGAAAAAGATATAAAAAGCAGCACCTCGGCAGGTGTGACTGCTAAAGGCCCTCCCACAAGCCTGTGAACCCCTGGGGAATAGGGCCCCCCAGTGCCTCTCGCAGTCCCCAGTCACGGCCCATACATGAGATCAATTAAAGGAATTGATGAATAGTGAGAGAGTGAGTGAATGGATGAAGCCCACTACAAAAATCTGGCCCCATCTGCGGGAACTGAGCATGGGATGGGCTGGGCAGAAATGTCAACCAAGTTTAATAGTAAGTTCAAAGGCTCACAGAGAACACTAACAACCAGGTTCATGACTCTAATTTCCTGCCCGGTGACAGGGATGCAGGCACAAATTGAGCTTTTTCCAATATGTGTCTTGGGAGTGGATCCACACGGAAGGGAGGAGACGACTTCCTAGCTCTCATTACCATGGTCTAAAGCTGGATGCACCTGCAAAGTCGCCCCCCACCCCCCCAACCACGCGAGTCTCCAGTGACAGAGCAGCAGAGCAGGGACCAGCCTCAGAGGCACAAACAGCACAGAGGCGCTCCAGCCAGCAGGGCCCTTGACTGCAGGCATCGGGGGTTGCCGGACAAAGCGCCAAACCAGACCCGGGGCTTGAGGGAGTCGGGGAGGGGGGTGTTGTGTGAGAGGCTGCCCATCTTGGATCTTTAAAGGCCCTGTGGGAGTCTGGGGGGATAATCTGGAGACCTATTGCTTCTTGGCTCCCTGTTCAAGAGGGGTGACAATGAGGCCTAGATGCTGTGTGCACGTACACACACACACACACACACACACACACACAGAGTCACATCTAAATAGATATATGTAACAATTCTTTGCTTTATGTAGGATCTTTTTCCAAAGACCTCAAAGAGGCTTTACCAACACTCCCCCGGGGCCCATACTCGGTTATATTTAAAGGCGCTCACGAGGGCACACGCACACAGAAATAAAAATGTTCATCTGTGGATAAATACTTAACCTACCCCGTCCTCTCTCAAACTTAACACACTGCTTTTTATATCTTTTTCTGCCTACCCACTCCTTTCCTTTTATCTACAAGAGAAAGGATAAAGTATATCGAGCTCCCAAA